CGACAGCAGGGTGAGTAGCATTAGCAGCAACGGCGCCATTGTTGTTGTGATACTGGCCGCGCATGCGTGTTTAGAGGCGACGCTATGACGCATGCGTGTAAAAAAAAAAAATAAAAAATGCGGTTAGAGCGTAAAGATGGAAACGCGAAAACGGCGTTTCGAAATCTTCCCACTCTGAAGGCTGAATAAAAAAAAGATCGTTTACAGACCCCCGAAACGCCGGCTTCTTGTGGATGAGAGGCTGGTTTGGTGAAAAATGTGTGCGTTTAGGCCAGGGTTCGTCTTCGTGTGGACGGGGCCCCAGTCAGTGGATGATTAACCAAGAAAATCAATATATAAGCAGAAGGATCCTACAGTGCAGCATGTAGTGTAACAGTCTGTCTATCTCAGACTGACTTGAAGACATTGAGTTAGCCATAAGGTTCAACATTAGAAAGTAGAATAAATCGAAAGTACTTCAATTTGAAATGTTGATGTATTTATGTAGTATATTTATTTTGTTTTATTTCTTATATAAAAAAAATATATATATATATATATATATAGCATGCATATGTAGGATATAATTACCGTAACAATGTACCAAATACATGTATATTACATGTACATTAACTTAACACTTTTGGCAAATCTGTATTCTGCTCCATGAACACATTAATTTTATTGTGATTGATTTGTATAATGTTATAATATATGATTTAGAACAGAGGTCTTCAACAGGGGGTCCGCGACCCCTAGGGGGTCCGCATAGGTACTGCATGGGGGTCACGAAGTTTTGGTTAATTAGACTTATATTCCCCCCTGCAATATTTTCCACTAATTGAAATGTCTTTAAATCCACATTAACATGAATTCAACACACTGTAGTAAACAGATAAATGGAGGCAGAAGATGTCTTTCAGTCATCAATGCAGATCTGCGTTCCTGAGTAAAAATAAGTCAAATATCTGACAAAAGAGTGGAAAATAGAAGATTATATAAAAAATGTTTTGTTATTGTTGTTCCAATAAGTTTGATAGTAAGAACAGAAGCATAGACTCTAGATTTTTTTAGTTCTTCAAAAAGTCAGAGAAAGAATATCAAGATTTGATGCATAAAATATCTAAAAACATGACTTATATTTTGAGATAGTCTTCAACATAAATGACAAATGAACCAGAGAAAGGAGGTGAAACAGGTATAGGATAGCTGTAACCTAAACCTTTTTTTTTTTATATTCCCTCCTGCAATTTTTTTCCACTAAAGTAAGGGCCTGTGGGAAGTGGATTTAGGCACTATAGAGTTCTACCTGGGAGAGACAATTTAAAATCCTTCATTGGCTTTATATCACACCTGAGATGAGACATAGAATGTTTCCAGCGTTATCAAATCTTTGTAACAAATGTCAGTCTGCTGTTGGTTCTTTGTTCCATTGCCATATTCTGCAATTCTGGGAATCCGTTATAGACAAGTTACATTTAATATTTAGGTACCAACTGCAATCGGGTGCAAGAACGTGTCTGTTGGGTCTGAATGATGAACTGCCAGATAACTTTAACAAAGAGCTTCTACATATATTGTTACACTCTGCTTGAAAGTGTATTATGGTGTTGTGGATTTCTGATAAAGCTCCTTCTATAATAGCCTCGTGAGACCATCCTGATCTCGCAAGGTTTCAGTCGCAGATCAGTCTGGAGACTCTCCGTTGAAGAAAATTTGGAGTCGTTCACCAAACGAACGTCCAATCAGCGTTGGCTTTGAGGCGGGTTGAGGTGTGACGCAACGAGAAGCGCGACAGTTCAGTCTAAAGAACATGGCGGCTTCAGCCGATGAAACTAGCGTTAGCGTGGCTATCGAGCAAGTTTTATCGGAATTACAGAGTATTTCTTCACTGAAAGAAGAGCAAAACACTGCTCTGGAGGCTTTTCTCAGAGGAAAAGATGTTTTTGCTCTTCTCCTGACTGGTTTTGGCAAGAGTTTGATCTATCAATTGGCTCCTCTTCGTCGTCGCTCTGTTAGTACGTCATATGCTTCGTTGATCTGATTGGTTTATTTGCCCCGTCTATCACCAACATAGGCCAATCAGCTAACCAGTATTTTCGCCCCTTCCCAAAATTACTTCAACGGAAGGTTTCCAGATGGATATGGGGAGCAATAATGTAGTGTTATGTTTGTGGGTTTTTTTTGCTTTTGGGCTCCCTTTATTTATTTAATTATTTTATTTATTTTTTATTTTTTTGTTTATGTGTGTATATCCTTCTCACATGTATTTAGTGTTTCATTTTTGATGTTTTCCTGCTTTGCAAAAAAGTTCAATAAAAAAAAGAAAAAGGTTAAAGTTGTAAAACAGTTGGACATAGTTGTATAACAAACCTTCCGTGGTAGCTACTGGACAAAGCTGACGGATGGATGAACACAAGTCCCACCTATGAGTCGGACAAAGAAGGGAGGTGAGACGAAGGAAAGAAACCCAGACAGAGACTTTTTTTCACTTGAACAGATTTATTCTAGGTATAGTGAGGATGAGGAATCCCAGCGTGTTGTTTACTGGTGACATGTTGATAAGCAGGAAAGGCTCCTTTCAAGTGTTTCAGAGATGAGGACGGATTTCAGTGCTCATTTAAAACAAACCTGAAGAACTCTAAAGTAAACGCAGCCTTTAAAGCTGCCAAGGAGAAATAAAATGGCTGTCAGCTATTGGACCCAGATGTCAATCAGACTATAGAGCAGCTAGCTGTCCTCATCGGATCAGGAGGAGGTGGAACCGGTACCATGAAGCTGATGTCAGACTGAAGAGCTGCTTTACAGCTCTGCTGTGTTTTAGAGGTGATCTTAGATCCTTCTTGGTGACCTGAGGATTCAAACAGCTCTTACTGTCCACCCATTTATCCGTATTAAAACGCAATTCAAAATGGCTCTTCCCAGTCAAAAGCCATTTTCTCCTGGCCGTTTATATTTATTTACTCTGACTCCACCCTTTCACAAGTTACAGGGTCTGAAGTTTCTCTTTAGATCTTAATCTCCACAAATCATGGCAGAAAGAATATTTTAGATGTTTAAAAAGGAATTGCAGTCCACTGGTTTTCGTCTCAGCATTGGAACTATTTTTAATTAAGCACTAAATCAGTAAATGGGCCATATAGTGACGCTTAAATGTATAATGATCAAATGATCTTAAAACGTACTTTTATGGTACAAAAGTGACAGAAAATAATTTTTAACTTAATACTCTGAAGCTGCTGCTGCCGCAGTGCATGCTGGGACAGCCGTGAGTCATCAGACTGTGTCAATCTCAAGAACGGACAAGTCTGCTGTGTCACTACCCCATCTGTCCAGGAAGCACGATCCGTCCCGAAAACAAACAAGCAGAACCATAACATCCGGATCCCCGAAAAACTACAGAACGGTATTGAAAATACTTTTTTATATCCTTAAAACATTAAAGAATTCTAAAATACATCATATAGAAAATATTGAGGACTTTTCTGGAAGAAATGGATACGATTTACATTCTCTCCACTGTATTGCGTGACATCCTCATCGGACATGCTCGGAGCAGTCACAGGAACCTTCCAAAGGCTTTTTTTTCATTTTTAGAATATGCAATATTTATGCAAATACAAAAATGTTAAAAAGGAACTCCCCGCTGGAAAAATAGAAAAGAATAAAAAAAGTAAGAAAACTGAAGTATTGCCTACCAGGAAGTTATTCTATTTGCACATGCACAGGATGGATGTGCTTCCGGGACGGATCGGGTACTGGCACTGTGAAGTGGAACAGTAGTAGGGCTAAGGCTAATGCCAAGTACACATATTGAAAAACGGGCTGAGAGGGCGACTCCTGTTCAAAGATCAACCCAACCTGATTTTTTTCTAAATTCCAACACGAGCAAAGGACTGTTTATGGATTAGGCAACTACTATAGAGGTGGCATTTTCAAGACAGAATCGGGAATAGAAAAGTCTACTAAAGCGAAGCCCACCAGGCCACCAAACACCATGGAGCCTTGGCTAGTATGTTGTTTTTTTACAAAACAAAGTCTAAACTGAAAATACCCAATCCCGAAAGTGTTAAGAAATAAGGTTTCTGTGTTTCTGACCCTAAATGGTCGGGTTATAAATATTTAGGAAAAAAATCTGGATGAAAAAAAAGAGGGGAGACGATGGACTTCCTCTGTTCTTTGTGTCCGTCACCCTTCATCCAACACGCTTTATAACATTTATTGGCAGGGAAACACTACATGTTACTTTCTTCCACTTTTGGCGATTTACAGTAGCAGCAATTCAAAATGGCCTTTCCCATTCAAACGCCGGACCAATGGCAGCAGAACATGCAACTCCCAGCAAATTCCCCTCACTCTTCCAGCCACTGGAGCGAACCCCTTTCACTGATTTACAAGGTCTGACCAGGAGATGGCGCTTCTCTTTAGATCTTAATCTCCAGAAATCATGACAGAAGGAATATTTTAGTACAAAGATGAATGTTTAAAAAGGAATTTTAAAGGACCAGCCAAGGAAAGTGTGGAAATCGTGAACTACCGTTAGGTACACCAATATCACTGAACGGGAAGAAGCTGCTCCTTCTGTGCCAAACAACTGACCGCCTTCTCAATAATCATCCAATCAGAATAACATAACAGCACCATTGATGGCAAAAACACCTCTGGGAGGAGAAAGGGTTTCCCTAACTTTACGCTGCCTTGCCCAGGGACTCCAGCAGGAGGCAGTCAGCCTCACAGGTTAGCATCAGCTTCATGGTACCAAAAACATGTGAGTTTATCCTAAAGAAATCCGCTGGTTCCTCTTCCAGATGTTGAGCTTTGCGGCGTTACTCAGTGAGAATAATGTCACGTTAACGGTGCGGTTGGATATATGACAGGAATGGTTTACAAGCAGTGGTGGTTATAAGTGCAGCACTGATAATATGTCAGATGGTTTAAAGTTTTAAGTCTGACCAGAACGGTCATCAGAGGTACGGATCCAGAACCCTCCCAGGGACATAGGTTGGTATTACGGTAGCTCTCTGCTTCTCCTCGTTACTGAGGAAGGGCTTCAGGCTTCATCAAGTACTGGTTGAGAAGAGGTCACTTCCTGTTAGAACAGCAACGCTTTTTTCTTCAGTTCGTTTCTTCTCCATAGCGACAGGCGGTCAAAGTCAGCGATGGGCATCCCAAAGATCTGCTGGAACTGCTCCGGGGAGAGATGCCTCTGTCAGAGCAGGGACACAACCTCGTTAGATTCATTCACACCAAGTCTAAGACTAGTTTCAGAGTGGAACCGGGATGATTCTCACCTCCAGCCGAGTCCGGTCCACTCCAGGCGGCAACTTACTGCGCCCTCTGTGGGTTACAATCAGGGCTTCATACGGATAGATCTGAGGAACAGACAACCTTTCATCACCTTTTTCAACTAAAAATATAATTAACTGAAAGTCGTGATAATCATTGACACATGGCTGATTAGGTTATCAGTGATACAATCAATCAGACATGGCGGAGACATGTCTAAACATCTGCGGCTTTAGCAGCAAGTAAAGGTGGTCTTACAAAGTACTACTTTGTACAAACACACAAGTTTGTGTTCCAAAAAAGTAAAAAATCAATACACTGGACTGTGTTTCCAAGTTTATTTTGCTTCCGAGAGTTCGAGGCTTTAAGCCGGACATACACTGTGCCATTTTTTTCAATCATTCACACTGTACGACAAAAGTGCAGGGTTTAGTAGTACAGTGTGAGATCACAGCTCACGATGCATGTTCAGCCCGACGCTCTCATGAGATCTGCCAGCTCACACTCTATGTCTAAAAAGCACATCGGACTCAGCTCCGCGGTGAGATGGCGCTACTCGGACTCGTCTATCTGGAAGCCAAATGAGTAGAGGAGGAATGTGAAGCTCACTAGAGTCAAACGAGCTGCCTTAGACATTTGTGCCCTAAAAAGAAAAGGAGAGGACGTACTTGGACAAAGATATGGCTGAGCAAACATGGCTACTACGGTCTGTCCATCTTACAGGAAGAACTCCATTTCAGTCGCTCCCCCGCCATGCTGCTGTTTTTACATCTCAGAGGAAGACGAAAAAGAAGAATGCTTGTTTGCGCATTCCAACTGAGCGATTTTCCCACGACGGTCGGCCCCAACCTTACGATTCCTGATCGGGAAGTGGTCCTAAGAAGCTGATCGACCCTCTTTAAACCCTGTACACTACACGATGCACAACGAATAGGTCCACCCCCAAGTTTGTGGTTAAACCTAAAAAATGTATTGCTACAAAGCACCATCTGTAAAACCCACTGAGTCACCAAGAACCCATCCACTAGAAGTAGGACCCAGTTCTGATCACTAGTAGCTGTTTAAAGTTTGGATACGCCAGCGGACATGCGACAGTCTGTCACACCTTTGCTGTTTACACCTAAAGCTGAGCATTTACTGCGCAACATCTTCAATCGTTGCACGCAGCTACAGCTCAAACTGTACGATGAAATTGCAGGGTTTAAAAGTTCACAGCTCGAGATGTTTGTTCTCACACTGTGCGACCCGACGCTCTGGTGCGATCTACCTGCTCACACTGTTCGTCTAAAAACCATGTCGGACTCAGCGCCGAGAGATGGCGCTGGTCAGATTTGTCAATCTGGAAGCAGAAGCGATTTGGCCATGACCACCTTAAAACGGGCAACTGAATTTCAGACGTGTTTGATTTTCTCCCGACCTTCCGGTTCCTGATTGGGAGGGGGTTGTGAGAGGCTGATTACCCCCTGTATACTACACGACGCATGATCAGGCTGAAAGTCGGCCCAATCGAAAAATTCTTGCACGACTGGAAAATAAGCCCAAAAAGGGCACAAAAAAAAATCATACAGTGTATGGCCCGCTTTTTTCCTGGATCTCAACATTTCTAGAGGACAGAGAAGCTGTTTTAACCTTTTAGGGTAAACTCAAAGGTATGGTGTGAAGGAAGTGTTCATTTTTCACCACTTCCTGTCTCCAAATCAATGTCTAAATATCTCTTTACACCGAACTGACTCTGATAGATAAGCCTGGGAAGAGCAGGAGACCCCAGCAGCTGGTCTGTTTATCAGGGCTCACCTTCTGCTCCAGAATGCTCGGCAGGGAGTTCCCTCTGTCCATCCGCTCTCTCCGGGCCTCTCCGTTCTACACAGACACATTCCAGACACGCTCTGTTCAACAGCTGCTAACATATGAGACTCACAGAGAGCAGGGCAGAGAAAGCTGAGGGACACACCAGGTTCAGTTTCTACAGTCTGGTTCCACCTACGGCTAAATAGGAACCAGTGTTTCCCTACTGGTGTCCTGATGTTTCAATCTATTCTTAACCTAATATTGGCTTAATGTTAGCCTGAGGTTAACCTAAAGTAACCTGATGTCAACTTAACATTAGCCTGGCATTAGGCCTCATGTTTAGAGGATACTTTTATTAAAGGAAAAGTCCGCTCATATTCAGAATTCCAACTTCTGAAAGTACTTTAATTATGAAATGATGAAATACTGTTAGATAAATGATAAGTATTTCAATTAAGAGTCATTTTCATGTGAATGTTCTTTACTGAAGGCATCCATGTTTGTCAAAGAACACTACTGCCACCTACTGGTTTGTGACGTCACGGTGCGGTATCGGCTGTTGATCAAGTCCCAGTGCTGTATCTGGTGTTTGTCACAACGCGCTATTATCCAAGTCATCTTGAAAACATTCTTCTTCCAAATGTTGGCTACATATTACGGGTTTTTTCTCTGGCCAGAAGTTCGATGGCAAATCCTCCCTCTTCAAGTTGCCGATCCAACGACCAACCCGTCCGTGGAGGATCAGGAATCAGAGAGGTGGAATAACTTATTTTTTTCCCTGATGTATTCCAACATCCAGCTGCCATGCACGTGGGCATTGTCAGTTTCACTATAGCTCTGGTGAATTTCAATGGTGAAGTCCTCTGGAAATCTTCAATAATTGTTGTTGATTGCAGATGTGTCTAGTAGTTCCCATTGATTTAGCTTGTAAAGCGGGGAGAATGGCGCTAGGCTTACCGCACCGTGACGTCACTGCTGGAAGATGGCAGGAGGGAGGGGTTACTAGATTTGGGCAAAAATGGCCGCTCCCAGACTCAGTAATCGTGGCTAAAGTTATTGTTTTTAGTTTTTTTGTTATTAATGCTAAATTCATTAAATCACTGATTTAATGCTGACCGGACTTCTCCTTTAAAAGTTTTTATTTAACCGGGATAGTTTCATTGAAAAATAAAATAAACAAAAAAGAAAACAATTGGGATGAAGTGCTGACCAAAAGGCTCGGGTGAAAAAACAAAACAAAGAAAAGTTACACAGTTATAAGATAAATGACAAATAATAAAAATAGGTACATGAATCAGCCTCAGTAATTTTTTTTAGTTTGAAAATAAAAACACCCTGTATGATAAGGAAGGTTGGTAGCAGGATTGACCTGTTTTAAAGGTTATGTTTAAATATGGAAAGGGCTACAATTTTAATTTGGGCTTTTTTCTCTGGTGTTCAATTCAAACAGATAAGAAAACTAAATCAGCATGTATCAATATCGAGTGATATGACAGGGTTATATTGTGATACATTGTACTGCGTTAGTTAAGCTAATTTAAAAGGGCCAATGTTAGCATGGTGTTAGCTTAACATTAGCCTGTTAACGTGAAATCAGCCAGATGTTAGCTTGATGTTAGCCTGATGTTTACGTGTCGTGTCACTACCCGATCCGTTGCAGGTACCACATTGCTTGGGGCCCCGCCCCTTCTTATGACGTCAATATATGGCAACTCCACTCGGACAAACTGTATTGCACCCGTTTTTTTAAGAATCTCTCTCAACATATTATCACCCATATTTGGTATTATTTTATATTTCATTGGTGATCTAAAGCTCAGTCTTGAAGGAAAGTAACGCCTTCTAAGACTGAGCTCTCTGATGTAACGAGTTGACACAAAAAGTCTCAGCTTATTTTTATTCTTTTTATAAAGATTGAAGGACAGAGGAGGACAAATGGGACATTCTAAAAAAGGACTTTTGTACAGTTTTTAGACCAAGGAAAGATTGGTTGTTGTTGAAACGAATTTAAAAGTAGTGTAGCTTAATATGGCTAACTGACTGAGCTAAAATAGGCTAACCTGTTAGCTACTGAGTACAGCTAGCCACAGCGCTACCCAGCTCTCCCCCTTTATATCATGATCTAACTGTTACTCTGTTCACCATAAACAGATTTTTTTTCCAGTTTTGTTATCAATCAGGTAAAACTTCTTCGGTCATTAGACACGCTAACGCTACAGATGCTCCCGACTCGGCACACGGACGATGCATGATGTTATTTTCATTGTCTGGGCAACCACAATATTTTACGCCAACGTTCAGCCAATCATGTAGCGTAACATCACTGGCAGGAAGCAGGACCTGAGCAGATCTGGCACCTACAGCGGTAGCATGATCCGTACCATTAGCACATTTGCGCAACCCGATATACATGCAGTGGGCACAATGCAGTTCATGAACTCCGCCACGCTGTGCTCCAGGAAGCTTAATTACGCATCCAATGGCAAAAAGGTGCTACGCAAACATGAGTTAGACACTGGTCATCGGGCTGCTGTTCATGCGGCACACTACACGTTTGACGGAAGCTATGGCAACAGCTGATGTACCAGCATCAATAACTGACCGTGTATGCGAGTTAAAAATAATAGTTTGTGCTTTCCTCACCGAACACGACCTCTCATTCACACTAGATATAGATGCTCTTTTGCCATCTTCTGGCCGTTTTTGGTATTGGATTTTCAAAAGTCAAATGTAGCTTTCAGTCAGTCATGCGATCTCTGATCCCATGCCCCAACACCCCCTGGCATGGCTTGAAAATAGACACACACACATATATGAAGGGTTGCGGGTTTGATTTTCCGGCCCGCATGGAGTTTGCATGTTCTCCCTGAGCATGCGTGGGTTCTCTCCGGGTACTCCGGCTTCCACCACAGTGCAAAAACATGGCTGTTAATTGGCTTCTCTAAATATTCCTTAGGTGTGAGTGTGAATGGTTGTTTGTCCTGTGTGTCTCTGTGTTGCCCTGCGATGGACTGGAGACCTGTCCAGGTAGTACCCCGCCTCTCAGCCATAGAGAATTTGATTAATAAAAGTTGAGTTTAGGCAAGAAACACATTTTTATTTTATCACAAAGTAGATGATAATTCTAAAGATAAAACTAGAAATATTTCTTTGAGCTAAAGCTGCTCTTATCTATTCCAGAGCTTCATATGGATGTAAAACTGTTCAGTAGTGGATTAAGGGGCCTTGCAGGGGAAGATGGCAGTAACAGGTTAGCCGCAGGGGGTTGGAAAAGCCATGCAAACACACAAACAGACACTCACCTGAGCAGCTGCAAGGAGAGAAGGAGAGAAGAAAGGGACAGAAAAGTTGAGAACAGAGAGAGAAGTCATCATTACACAGATGGAAATGTTCTCCCAATGAGGTGCATCAGAATCAGAAACCTTACACCACCTTCCTGCCTACATTTGGCCTTGTAGAGGTATTTCCACCCCCTTATGTGTTTCCACTCAGCCACTACCAACCCAGTAAACCCTGTGTCTTTCATTGAGACACACTGACCCAAAGGGGTCCATAGCTGAGGTTGGACAATCTGAAAAGAGGAACATGCATTTAGATTCAGACCCTTTTTGCTCAGATAGGGCTAAGGTAAACCAATGCTAGAGGCCATTTGAGGCCCAGAGGTTACTATAACCCTATTTATACTACCCTCTGAAAACCGATCTGTGCTGAGTTCGGATCGAGCTTCGATCAGTTAACGGCCGTTTACACACCACGCTAGCACCATTCATTGCCTCCTAGTGACGATCTACGGTACTACTGCTCTCTAATCAACATGTTGGGGCCTGTAACATTCAGGCAGTTTGGGTATAATTGTGATATTTAGTTATTTGCAGTGAGTCAGGTGAACAAGGCAGCCTTTGGTGAATTGACTTGACAGAGTGCTTTTGGGAAGTGGATAAAACAAATGATAATCAGGGCTTACTGATGCAGGAAATAACAACAGTTTTATCACACTGCTAAGCAGAATCATCACTGGAAATTGTATTTTTATGAATCTCCGAAATTTCATGATTATGGAGGTAATCGGAGACTGTAAGGAGATGACGCGGGCTGAAAGCAGATGACGCGGCCAGAACTGAACTGCGCTGACCCCTACTGTTGAACTAGTACCAGTTAAGCGGTTCAGTTGTGTCCAGCACAGTCCAGTTCAGTTTTGCGTGCCATTTACACTCAACAGTTACCAATCTGGAACCGATCTCTGCACGGTTTCAAAAGGGCAGTGTAAATGGGGCTAATGGATAAGCATCTCAGGTTGCATTCATAATGGGACACATGCCCTATGTAGTCTTTTTAAGCAAAATAACTCTGATTTCTCCACAGACTCAGGCTAAAAAAAGATAGATTGTACTTCTTTCATCATTTTAATACAATTTTAAACTTTCTACAGTTTCATATAACCAGATGACCTAAGATTCTTTTACTCGTCGCCTTCGCCTTTATCATGGACCAGGTTGTGGTGGCAGCAATCTCAGCAGAGACTCACAGACATACCCCAACCCAGAAACCTCCTTCAGCTCTGCTGAGGGAAGTCCGAGGCGCTCCCAGGCCAGCCGAGAGACATAGTCCCTCCACAAGGTCGTCCACTGGTCTCCCCCCAGTCCAGCATGCCTGCCAGGCCACCTCAGCTGACTCGTCTGGATGTGGAGGAGAAGCTGCTCTCAAATAATCAAGCTCCTCACCCTAGCCTTAAGGGGGAGCCAGCCATCCTGTAGAGGAAGCTAATTTCAGCAGCTTGTATCTTGTTTTTTTGGTCATGATTCAGATTTCCTGACCATAGGTGAGGGTAGGAACATAGAAAGAGTTTTGCCCTTTTACTCTCTCTTCACCATGACAAAGTTTGCAGAATAGCAGTAGCCACACCGATCCGTCTATCAATCTCCGGCTCCATTGTCAGCCTCCACAAAATGTAGAGACAAGATCCACTGGTCCCCAAACCAGAATGAATCCAGCCATTGGCTGTGCCTAGAAGTCCTGTCCATGAAGGTTATGAACAGGAGCCAGTGACAGAAGTCCTGCCAGAGTCCACTGTGCACCGGGAGCAAGTCTGACTTAATGCCTGGGAATGTGGACCAAACTTATGATCCACTTGTATAAAGACAGGATAGCCCCTAGCCGAGGGGAACCAACCTCCTGCATCACCCCCCACAGGTCACCAATAGGGACAAAGTTAAAGGCCTTCTCCAGGTCGACAAAACACATGTGGGCCGGTTGGGTAAACTCCCTAGCACCCTGGAGAACCCTGCACAGGGTTTAGAGCTGGTCCCCTGTTGGACAGCCAGGACAAAAACCACACTGGCTCCTCCAGTGTGGTTTTTGTGGTTTTGAGTTCTAAGGTACTCAGGGCAGATCTCTTCCACCCAACCGGGGCCTGTGAGATTAATTAATCCATCCCGACCACCCGTCTCTTTTTCCACGATGGAAGGCATGTCAGCCGGATTGAGGAGATCCACAAGGTTCCTTCCACTATGATGTCCTCTTTCAAGGTCAGCAACTCTTCGCTCCCACTGAAAAAATCTTAGAACAGCTTTGCTTCCCGTCCGGATATGCTGGACAGTTAGCCAGAATTACTTTGAGGCCAGCCAATAGTCTTTCTCCATGGCCACTCCAAACTCCTGCCAGGCCTGAGTTTTTGCCCCAGCAACTGCCTATGCAGCGGCACGCTTGGCCTCACATTACCTGCCTGCTGCCTCAGGAGTCCCAGAGCCAACCAGGCTCAAAAAGACTCCTTCTTCAGCTTGACAGCATCCCTTACTGCACCACTGAGTTCACAGATTGCCACCACAACAGGCACCAAAGACTTTACGGGGACAGCTAAAGGCGGCTGCATCAACAATGCATGGCCCACTCAGACTCAATCTCTGCAGCCTCCCCCAGAGTCTGGGAGAAGCTCTCCTGGAGGTGAGAGATCAAACGCATCCCTGACAGAGATCTCAACCAGACCCTTACTTCTCCCTCTGCCCTGCCAAGTCTGTGTGGCCTCCTCCTCTTCCAGCGTATCCAGCTCCCCACCAGGTGTTGGTTGGTGGAAAGCTCCGCCCCTTTCTAAAAAAATCTTTTTTAATACTTACACTACAATATTTCACTATGACAGATTTGCTATTGGAATGAACAATGAATTAAGATCAGCTTTTGGATCATTTTTGTCTGTGAGGCACATCTCCTATTTCATAGGGATGGATGAGATAGTGAGATAAATGGAGCTAAAAAAAGGAGGCGGTTAATACATAGTTACATTTAATTGTGTAACATTGAACAAAATGTATGTTTAGCAGTGTTCTTACAACACGCTGCTTTTTTTATTTTACCTGAGTAAAATAGGTTAAGTAGTACTTCTCTCGATCAATGTTCCCTCTAATTTTACATTTGTCTGGGCTACACTCAATCCCCCTGAGTTCACTGAAGACCAATGGGAGATCAGATGTCTCCATGGATGGATGGATGGATGGATGGATGGATGGATGGATGGATGGATGGATGGATG